GCTCTCCCTGCTCTCATCCATGCTAGGCTGCATGGATGCGCAGGGAGGTCTTGCCCAGAACAGAACCATACCGCCAAACCAAACTTTATGCTAAGTATCTATCATTTTGACGATAGTGGTTCTGACAGAATAAACGTTTTACGTTTCTTATTTATTTGGTTATATATTATACATGTTTACTTAGCCTATTTCCAGTTTTGTATACCTATTTAAACTTTATGTAAGTTATTTGTTATTTTATATTAGGCATAGCCTGCCCTATAGAATGGTGTATTTGTATTTGTTTTGTTAATAAAAGTTCTATGTTTTATATATAGGCTAAAGTGAGTTTGACGTTGTTATTTTGTTGTTGCATTCAAGCAATTGACGCCTAACTGCCGCTAATTCAAAAGTGAAAGTAAAATGCGCACGGCGCTTTCAAGCTATTTAAAAGCGACAGAAAGTGAGGAAAAGAGGGAAAATTCAAACGAACTAAAAACGAACAATTGCTTTACGCCGAATTGCCGCTATTTCAAAGTGAAAGTAAAATGCGCACGCCGCTTTTACAAGCTATTTAAAAGCGAAGGAAAGCTAGGAAAAGAGGGAACGCCCCCGCCCCGCCCCCACGGTGATACCGGTATTACCAGTGTTGTCACACGTTGATTAACCGGTGGGAAAATTTCCTCACCGTCACAACCCTAGACCACTGACCACATTTTTATAGGTCTTACCCTGGGCCAAATGAAATTTGTTTTTATCAGGAATCCAAGCTAACAGTAACATAGCATTTCATCAAGGACACATTGTCTGTGCTCAGGTGTCTGTATCTGAACTGGAAACATCAATATGTAAATCAATCCGGCCATCACATCTCCCAGCTGCACCAGGCCTTGACCTCTGCAGGGGATGAGAGATAGAACTACGTCTGTGGATACTGAGATGTCTGGAAAACACCCTATGTGTTAGTAAAGCCTAGTGGGTGCTGACGGTGAGATTAACAGTGCCACATGGCTGGTCAGCTCTAGTGCGCACCCCCCTGCAGACAGACAGTGGGTCCCCTGACAATGTAATCATTCACCCAGCGGGCTCTGACAGCTCTGAGAGTGTAACAGACAGCCCAGCTTTCCTTTCGTCACATTATTGAACTCGTCTCTACTTTGTCTTCCTCCATTGCTACTTGCAATAACATCACTTAGAGAAAATGTCACCTTACGCTCTTGTGTGAACTCTCACTCTCCCCACTTTTAGTTGACATTTCATTATGTCTGCTTAGTTAAAGTTATTGCATATGCATGTTTCTAAGGCTGGTTCTCACTAATATGCTCAATAATATGCAGGTCATGGACTGGCCATCTGTTAAGGGTGTTTCCCCGCCTGTTGCCTGAGATGCTGGGATAGGCTCCAGCCCTCTCTCATATGGTTTGAAAAATGGATGGAGGTCCAGGTCATATTTCACCATAAAATCAAAAGAAAGTAAAAAAAAAAAAAGATAAGTAAATAAATGATAAATGTTTGTGTAAATATATACATTTAGTTGAATTTTGGTAACAATTTAGAATAGGGAACACATATTCTCTATTAACTAAGAGATTTCCCTCAGTAAACTTCTAATTTGCTGCTTATTAATAGTTAAACTTAAAGGGATCTAAAATATGGTCATACAGAAGAAGGCATTAGTATGTGGTTTATAAGTAGTAATAAACAGCCAATATGCTAGTAATATCTATGATAATAATAAGCAACTAGTTAATAGTGAGAATTGGTCCTTAAAAAAAAAAGTGTAACCTGAATTTTCAGCAGACATTACTTCAGACGTCAGTGTCACATGATACTTCAGAAATCAATTTATGCTGATTTGTTGCTCAATAAACTTTTCCTATTATTATCATTGTTGGAAACGATTGTGCTCATTAATATTTTAATATTTTACGTTTTTCCAGAATACTTTGATGAATATAAAGTAAAAAAAATCTCTACAATACATACAGTAATATAATAATAACCTACATAAATTCTCAAATTTTTTCCTATTATGTTAATGAGAATAAATTGTTTTTGCATTCTGACAACGAGCACTGAGAGAGGAAGTGCTCTCAATTTACATAAAAATAACAACACAACACAAAAAATCTTAAGACTTCATTTTCTTTAAGCAAACTATCATTTCTTATTTCTTTCTTTTGATTTTGGGGTGAAATAAAACCATTTTCTTGACAGATTTCATGAGACTTACACAACCACATTTTGTTAGAGAAGATGTGATGAGCTCAGTGTAAAGAAAACAATCGGCAGCATCCTTGTTGTTTTGGTGGAGGTCAGGTGTTTGTGCAGCTCTCTATAGGAGCTGAGCAGGGTGTTAGTGGTGTGATATAGTGCCTGACTTGCTTCATTAAGTGCAGCAGCAGCAGCAGTCTTGAAAGAGGGCTGACTGGTCTTTAGTGTGTGTGTGTGACTCATCTGGCAAAACACCTCCCTCTGCCTCTACCCTCTCCGCTCCCTTCATCTCTGCTTCTGCCTCACACAGAGACTCACACATGCTTAAGCAACTGGGTTTCATCCTAATGCTCACTGCACTGGAATGGTACAGTTTCATTCTGCACGTCTATCTGCTGTGCCGTCCAGGCAGTGCTATAAGGCACTTTTCATTCAATATTAACGTAACACAACATAGGAGAAATGTACAGAAATAGAACAGAAATAGGAAACAGAAGTATGTGTGCGTGTGTTTAGGTGTGTGCATGTCACGAATCACAGAAGCACTTTACCGTCTTTGGGCAGTGAATATATTTGGCCAGGCTGATAATGAGGTCATGGGTAATGGGATCCACCAGGTTGCGGAAACTGGCATAGCGGTAGAGAACATCGTCCAGAGAGGTTGACTCCATTCCCAGATCCTGGAAAAAATACACAATACAGGGAGGTCAAGAGAATGAGAACTACAGACTACAGCAGCAGATCACACTTAAAGGAATAGTACACCCAAAATGAAAATTACTCACCCTGAGGCCATTCAAAATGTAGATGAGATTGTTTGTTCATAAGAACACATTTGGAGAAATTTAGCATCACATAACTTGCTCACCAGTGGATTCTTTGTAGTCAATGGGTGCCATCAGAATGAGCGTCCAAACAGCTGATAAAAACATCACAATAATCCACAAGTCTCTATCACTTAAAGTCTTGGGAAGTGAAAAGCTGCGTTAAACAAATTCATCATTAAGACTTTTTAACTTTAAACTGTTGCTTCTGGCCAAAAAAATGAGTCCACAATCCATAATAACGCTTCCCCCAGTGAAAAAGTACATCCCTTGTCCTCTCACATCCATTAAAGAAGTTAACTGATGGACTGGAGTCGTGTGGATTATTTGTGGATTTCTGTGATGTTTTTATCAGCTGTTTGGACTCTCATTCTGACGGCACCCATTCACTGCAAAGGATCCATTGATGAGCAAGTGGTGTAATGTGAAAATTCTCTAAATCTGTTCTGATGAACAAACTCATGTACATCTTGCATTGCCTGTGTGTGAGTACATTTTGAGCAAATTTTCATTTTTGGGTAAACTTTACCTTTAAAGCTTATTTCCTTATTTCCGTCATTTATGAAGCTTTTTATTTGTAATAAATATTTACATTCACATAAATGTAAATGTGCATGTAACATTTAGATACGCTTCCTAATGATGATGTTCAGTGTTCCTGAAATCATGTAAATGAAATGTCAAAATGTGGGCCTAGAAAGTGAAAAGACTGTTGTCTATTTAGCACAGAAAAATAGAAAACAAATCCTTTAACTGTGTAAAACAAGCTAAACTGATGGAAAAGTTAATCTACATTATCAAATCTGTAAAGGAAAAGGGCAGGCAGGGGGATCAGCAATTAAAAAAATTGCAAATGTGTGTGGGGGTGAGGGCTCTACAGCCAGAGCTAAATAATCAACAGCGAACCAACGGGAAATGGGTGGGTGTGAATGAAACAAATCATCATTAGTATGACAAAGTGAATAAGGTTAGTCTTTGTTAAGGAAAAAGGCTGAATAATTTTAATGTCACTATAAACTTACTATTGAATTTCTCTCCCTCCATCGATAAAACCCTGGACCTAAACTGTGCACGCTGAGCATAAGCCTTGGTTTATCATTATCATCCCTCTATGGAGCAGAATCTTGATTAATCGATTTCCATTTAATCAAAGGCCCATCCATTTTCATGGTTTCCGGGCAACAAGGTGCACTTGGTAACCAGTGGACAAGAGACGCTGTCTTTTGACTCTCTTGCTCATTATGTGCTTTAACCCCCATTGCAGGATACACTGCAAATGCATTTCAGCAAAAATCTCACATTTACTTGGGGTAAAATCTGCCCCTTGTGAAAAAGAAGTGCACTTAATTGTGTGCTTCAAATTGTAAAGGTATATTTTTAAAGAAACTGTACTTGGAAATAATGTAATATTAATAAAATAAAAGGCCACTTAAGTGTACTTAAAGAGGGTACAATTTCATGTTTCTTAACACACTTTTAAAGTGCACTTAGTAATAATCTCTAATTAAAAGCTGTTCATTTTAAATCATTAAATTTTTAAAGAAGTCACTTATTTTGATGTGTTGAAAAACAATATAGCACATGTAAAGTACTTGATTATAATTTGAAATATAATTAAGTGTGTTATTTGATATTACATTTAAAGTTTATGTAATTTAAATGTACTAAATTGTAAATTTACCATATAGCAAGGTGTACTAATTTACTATCAAGCATAATGGTAAACTAAAGAGTGGGTTATTAATTAAAGTTATTAATTAATTGCATTCAATATTCATTTAAACTATAATACACGTTCATTTGATTGTAAATAACATGCAATAAAGTGTCAAAAAACATTACATTCGTTTGCACTTAAGTATCTTCTTTTAAAGTAGCCTATATTATTTCCATAAGTGTACTTCTTTTTCACAAGGTCCTTCTGAGAACAAATCCTGCAGTTTTTTCCGCAGCCACCTGTTGCTTCATCACTGCCCGGCAATTCATTTAATACTACCTATGGAGGATTAGAAATCCCTATTAACTCTGTCTTTGATCCCTGCTGCCCATATGCAGAAAATCCTCCACAGAAGCAAAGTGCAGCAGACCTGCTAAAATGACCTTCCGGGCCATAAGATGATCGTTTCTCTTGAGGAAAGCTGGATCAAAAAATAGTAATGGGGCCACATATACCCATCAAACAGAGTCACTAGCTATCCGAGACAACCATTCGATATAAAGCAGAGCATTGCGCTTACTGACAGCATCCATAATCACTACCCAAAGTAAACAGTTGGTGTTTATGCAGTGCAGTATTACTCTTCGGCCAGCTTGAGCTGTGTCTGTTCTCACAGGTTCACAGGACTGTAAAACGGGCATCTGTCTCAATAGCACTGAATTCTGTGAAATGCAGAATCTATAGAGCTGGGAAACTATTGCAGGAGTCTTGCTGTATCTCAGATATGTCTGCATCAGCACTGACAGTAATGATGCATTTTGGAGGAAGAGTTTATGTCTTCAACAGCTGTCAAAATAACACCAACCCAGTATAGGACTGACATTTTGGCCCAATTGCAACATATGATTCTCTCTGCTGTAAAGCAAAGTGGGATTTCTGCATGGGGCACAGATTACAAATCAAGCCAATGAGTCCAATGCTTTGAGGCCTCTGTTTACCAGCTGAGAAGCCCATGGTGGCCTGACATATGCAAACAAAAAGCTGCAACATAATTTCTTATTTGTGATCTGATTTCTTGCCATTTGGACATTACATCTCACTACTACCACAGGGAGCCTCCAAAAAAGACTGGTGCCCCAGAGCTTTGCAGGACAATATTTGCCACAATAAAAGCTCTTCAAGTGCTGTTTACGAAATTGAGGAAAAGTTGACAGGTACACAAATGGATAACAGAGCTGACATTCAACATATTGTGGACAAGAACTCATTAGAGAGAGAACTCTTACAACTTTCTACCTCTATTTGAGTTTTAACCTAATCTATACAAGAATAATGGAGTGGTATTTGTACCTGCCGGAGAGTCTTCAGCATCTCTGTCGCCTCATCGTGTTTCCCCTGCTTTGCCATCAGCATCATCTCTTGTATCATCCCGATGCGCCGCTGGTAGGGAGGAGGAGTCCCACTGCTCCTCAGTTTGTCTCCTGACTTCAACATTATAGAAGTAAGGATGTCTCCTCGCTCTTTCGTTGGGGTCCGTTTCCATCCTGTGCTCTGAGGACTCGCTCCTGCCTCCTGTCCCGCGGCCTTTGTTTGCTTCGCTCCCATGTTTGGTTATAGAGTCTCACCCTGGAAAAGGGCATCCAGACTGGGCATACTTTCAAAATGAATTCACATTTAACTATTAAAAGTCTTTTAATTGTACGCGAGATTAAATTTTGTAAGAAACAAATGAAAATAAGAAATAAGCTTTAGTGTTCCTATAAAGTTTATTGGAGAACAGTGTTTTAAAAGTCCTTCTGCTCACCTTACACCTGTCATCTCTAAGCTGACAGAGAAAATATACTTACATTAAGATGTGAATTTATATAATAAAATTACAAAAACTTGCATCGAATGGCATTTCAGTAAAATCTTTTTCACAAAGTGCTCATTCACAGGGTGTGAAATATGAGGGAGGTTTGGGGGGATGTACGACCCCCTAATTAAGGCATGAATACCCCAAATTAAAGTTGGGGGTCTTATTAATGTATTTTTACATAAGCATTTATATGTTTCAACAGCGTTCGAATAACGTGTCAGTAACCACAAAATTTACGTACGCGAACAGAAATCGCTTCTGCGTAGGTAACCATAGCAACAGCTGCTCATGATGTTTGTATCGGGCGGTGCATCAATAAAACACTGTACTGTCGTTATTTATCACATTACCATGTATAAACACATAACAAATATCTCACATAAATACTTTTGTTTTGTTTAAAACGTCTTGAGGGTTAACCGCACAAGGAGCGCAAAACGACCGTTTGGGTTCCGCGATACGAAGCGATTACGCTCATAAAATTACTTAAAAAGTTGACTCCCCTGCGTACATTTCTCATCCAATTTCCCACCAAAACTGTAGTTTACAAAACGTTGAACTTTTATATAATTCACAGCTGAATTATTTTGGAATTTTATAAGGCGGCAAAACATCTAAAACACTGCGTGTTACATTCCAAACTTCTTGTATTTCAGTCCAATTAGGTCATCATTAATATCTTCTGCCAAAACACCAGTAATCCTCGATTCCCTCAGGTAGGGAATAGATCTGATGATGCCTGCGGCATGACCGCAGAGAAGAGCAGTCTCGCAAACCTCCAGAAACTCTCACAGTCCGGTTCAACAGAATTCTAGCACGATCTTACGGCAGGATGTTTCGTTTCCCGCCCGTATTTTTATTTCAGTCGTTGTTTGTACGTGTTAACATCGCAGTTCCTCCGCAGTCTCTCAAAGGCACACGATGTAGGTTTCAGTGTGAGTTTAGTCGACTGCGAGCAGTACTGCTGTGAACAAGAGCATGTAAATATTTACGTCGTCCGTCACTGTTTTCCTCCGCGCACAAGTCATTCCAGTGTTTTCTTCCACGCAGGCTGCAGAAATATCACTGTTCTCTGCTGAAATGTGCCATGTCGAATTAATTCCCGCTTTGATATGACCTCTCACCAGGTGTGTCCCGTCTGAGGGTAGGGTGTGTTCAGAGTAGAGCGACTGAACGGTCTCTCAGCACTCAGATGGAGCGGAGAGGAGCTGGGTCTCGACACAGGCTGTGTGGGAGGGGTGGAGCGGTCTGCAACATCCTCCACTTGTGTTTCAATCTATAGTCGAGAATTCACCACTGCCTTGGTACAGTTAACCAAGTGGAGCAGATGGTCGCTATTGGGACTGCTCCAGTTCTGCACTATAGGAGGCATTTCAGTACTTTAAAGGAAATGAAAGAATCATTCACACGTATGGGCAATCCCCCCCCCCGACTTGTCATCGACTTGTTAATAGTTGGCCTTTCTTTGCTGACATCTGGTGTTTAACACATGGCATGTCATCTGCTGCAATTTTTTTGTTCTTAGACGAAAATTTGGAATTGAAAAAAGTAATAAAACTCTTAAAGCAACAGTTCACCCAAAATGAAAATCTGCTGACAGTGTGCTCAAGCTCAAGCCATTCAAAATGTAGATGAGTTTGTTTCTTCATCAGAACAGATTTGGTGAAATTTAGCATTACACCACTTGCTCACCAGTGGATCCTTTGCAGTGAATGGGTGCCGTCAGAATGAGGGTCCAAACATCTGATGAAAATGTCACAATAATCCACATGGCTCCAGTTGATCAATTTACGTCTTGTGAAGCGAAAAGCTGCGTGTTTGTAAGAAACAAATCCATCATAAAGGCATTTCAACTTCAAAGGCACAATATGTAATTTTTTGCCAATAGAGGGCACCTATTCAAAACAAACAAAGGCGTAGTTAGATGATGCCGTGACTGGGTGTGGAATCATGGGAGTTGTCGTCTTCATCCCCACAGCCGAAGCAATCCGATGGGACTCGGGCAGAAATCATGTTCATGGATGAGCTAATGTATTAAAGATTAATTAACGTAGTAGAATGAAGCAGGGTGAGGCTGAAAGCTGTCGAAGCAAAACGAGGCCGCTGAACGAGCGCGACACATGGCTCGAAAGCAGCGGAGCTTTTATTATGCCACAGTCGACCGCTTCCGCTCCTTCCGGAAAGCAGCGGAAGTAAGCAGCGCTGTTTTATCATACTAGATACATTTGAACGTTCTGCCATAATGCTACTCTGTGCGGTCGTCACCTGTCTAATAAAATGCATAGCATATTAAAGCGTCTTTGGTGTTTCCATGTTTTCTACAAAACAAAACCGGAAATCGAGGGGTTATGACGTCATTGGCAGGCGACACAATGACACTATAGACACGGTCCGTGTCACTAGTTAAAATTGCTTATTTCTCTGCATTTAAACATTCTTCGAAACATGTGGGATAATGTAAGTACACGAGTCAGTAAAATATATAACACTGTTCTAGTGGTTTTTGGATATTTTAATAAAAAAATCGTACATATTGTGTCTTTAAGTCGTCACTTTTGGCTAAAATATCAGTCCATACAACATAATATTTTCCTCCAGTGAAAAAGTCCAGTTCCTGTTATCGTCTCACATCAAAATCCACCAAAATATTTGTTTAGAACTTTTTATTTGTAAAAAGGTGCTTAATCTGTGCATATTTCTCTACTGACTCAGGGTGAACTTGATAAAGCAGTTATGGACAGAGGACTTGGCTTTGGAAGCAACAGTTTCATGCTAAAACACCTTAATGATGGATTTGTTTTTTATAAACAGCTTTTTGCTTCACATGATGTTAATTGATGGTCTGGAGTCGTGTGGATTACCGTTTTGTTTTTTATCAGCTGTTTAGACTTTTTGGCACCCATTCACTGCAGAGGATCCATTGGTAAACAAGTGATGCAATGCTAAATTTATCCAAATCTGAGCTGATGAAGAAAAGAGTTCTTCTACATGTCAGATGGTACATTTTAATTTTTGGGTTAACTATTCCTTTTAAAGTACTATGGAGTATTATTTAAGGTAAATATATCATATCGAAAATATGAATTAAGTAACTGAGCTGACACATTTATTGATCCTATTTCAAGCCATTTCTTTGTAGCGAACAGCAGCAGCTATTGGAATACCACATCAATCATAATAAGAACAGGAAATTGGAAATATCATTTTATTTATGCTTTTACAAACATATTTACAGTAAACAGTAAAGCAGTTCATCATCCAGTAGTTTAACCCAAATATATGATCAAAGGTTGGTTACAAGATGATGATCTCGAATACAGTTTTATCCCACTAGGCTTTCTTAGTCAAACCACATTTCACTGGCTGACTTTGGCATGGCCTTAGAATAAACTTTGCAGCAAGCCATTAATTAGACTATTTGCATTTGGAGAATGTCCACCGACTGTCTTCTCTAGAATATAAGTAAGGAATTGATGATAAGAGGGGTTTAAACTTAAAGATAAATTGACAATACGCTTGATTAACGCTAATAAGCTTATTCAATTGATGAACACAGCCGTCCAAATAAATAGAAGAAAAAACAAAAAAAACTAATCACATTCAAATCTTCTTAATACAGCCTTTCGAGGTGCAAGAGTTTGAAAGAATCACATCCCCATCGCACACTTGCATCACATTTAATAACTCCTCATTTTAACTTACTATTCCTTTTTTCCTTTAAAGATATGCAGTTGCTACAAATATTCAGCGCTGCAGTCAGAGACTGAAAGATGCTTTGCAAAAACCATTGTATATTCAAGGAGCACTGATAAGGAAGGTAAAACATGGATCTCCAAGGGAACAGCCCGTAGGGATGCTGAACTGAGCCGTTATGGTAGGCTTATAGGTGCAGGTTTATTACAAGGGATAGCCAGTAGGGGGAGCTTTGTCATACTTATTGCTCTCTAGTGAAAAAGGTGGAATGCGCACGTCAAAGTGTGAGCCATCTGTCCTCTCAAAACAGAATGTCCCCCTAAACAAGAAAACAAAACACAACATAACAGAGCGAAACCACATTGTCAATTCAGATACACCAAAAACAAGCATTCAGCCATCCAGTCTAACAGGTGGACCACATTTCCTGGCTACATGATTTAAAAAAATGTAAAGCTAGCTTGGTTGTAAGAGTATGTTGATAATCTCACCACATGTGTCCACTGGGTGCCTGAAGTGAAACATGACTGCTGTATTGAAATGCAGGTTGTTCTCTTGACAAAACAGGCTCCTGGTGAGATAATGATGGATTGCATTCAGCAAACAAATCATATTTCCATAGTCTTTAATTCTGGTTTATGCTTTTACTAATTAATAACCTTGCCAACCACTCCTCTGCCACGGACTGTTTCCAGAGTCCCTGAGAGACTGAATATCCTCCAGTGTCTTTCCCTGAGTTGAACCACCTCATTGCCCAGGTTCTCCAGACGGATGCAGTACCGCCACTGAGGAAAACATCAACATATTATCTCTAACAGGTCACCAATGGCCATTCTATATATAACCCTTTTATTGAGTTATTATAAAAAACATAATTAGGTAATTTTGCCTACCCAGTACACGTGGGAGTTTTGAGCCTCCTGTTGACAAACAAAAACCGGTCAGAATCAGGACTATGAGTTACATTCACTTCACTTCCATACATACTCTAAATATAAATTATAAATTCTGCTTTTCTTCAGCAAGGTTGCATTAAATTGATCAAAACTGACAGTAGAGACATTTATAATGTTACATTGGTTACAAAACCCAAACTTTTCAACAGTAGTGTATAGATCTTAATCTGGTTAGATGCCATATTGAATTCAAAGGGATAGTTCACCCAAAAATGTAAATTCTGTTACTACTCACCCTCATGTCATTCCAGACACAAATTCACAGCATATTCACGACACAAATTCAAAGTATTCACAGCGCTTCACTTTTTCCACATTTTGATATGTTACAGCCTTATTCCAAAATTGATTAAATTCATTATTTTCCTCAAAATTCCACACACCCCATAATGACAACGTGAAAGAAGTTTGTTTGAAATCTTTGCAAATTTTATAAAAAAAATAAAAAAAAACGAAAAATCAAAAATCAAAAAAATCACATGCACATAAGTATTCACAGCCTTTGCCATGACACTCAAAATTGAGCTCAGGTTCATCCTGTTTCCACTGATCATCCTTGAGATGTTTCTACAACTTGACTGGAGTCCACCTGTGGTAAATTCAGTTGATTGGACATGAAGGAACACACCTGTCTATAAGGTCCCACAGTTAATTGTGCATGCCAGAGCACAAACCAAGCCATGAAATCCAAGGAATTGTCTGTAGATCTCCGAGACAGGATTGTATCGAGGCACAGATCTGGGGAAGGGTACAGAAAACTTTCTGCAGCATTGAAGGGTCACAGAAGCATCAGTGGCCTGCATCATCCATAAATGGAAG